TCAAGTTACAATCGTCCCGATTATAATTTTTATAATGATATTGTTATAACTGGAATAACAAGTATATTAACGAATGTTTTTAGTGGTTTTGTTGTTTTTCCTGTTTTGGGTTTTATGAGTCATAAAGCGAATGTATCTATTGAACAAGTTGTATCAAGTGGACCTGGTTTAGCTTTTATTGTTTATCCAAAAGCAATTAGTCTTATGCCATTACCACATTTTTGGGCAATAACATTCTTTTGTATGATTTTTCTACTTGGTATTGATTCCCAATTTGTTACATGTGAAAGTGGTAAGATTTAAAAATCATCTATTTTTTATATTTAATTTCATATATACTGTTTTAGTACTGACAGCAACACTTGATAAACTTGATCAATGGTATGATAGATCACCCAAACGACGAAAAATTCGACGAGAATTTGTTGTAGCTATCTATGTTCTTATTTCATTTTCATTTGGTCTTTTAATGGCAACCCGTGCTGGATTTTATATTTTTAATATATTTGATGGTTATATTTGTGGTGCTATATCATTATTAATTATTTGTATAGTACAATTAGCTACAGTTCTTTTTGCATATCGAACAACATTTTCATCATGGCATCAAGAATGGCCACCATCACAATGGCCAGGTCAAACATTTATTCGACATATAAGGTAAAACCATTCAAAAAAATTTTAATTGTGTAAAAAGGAACTGTATTTTTTTTTGTTTTCACAGTGAAGTTTTAAAACGTCGTCTGACATATATTTGGGTTTGTTGGGTTATTGTTGTACCTATATGGCTTTTTGGTATGTTAGCAATTGCACTTCGCACGATTGGACCGATTTCATATGAAACATTTATTTATCCATTATCATTTCAAATTATTGGTTATATATTGACATCGATTGCTCCATTAAGTATTCTTGTCTACTTTATTTATTATCAATTGAAAAATGGTAGATAAGAATTTTAAATAAACGTTCCATCTTCTTTTTTATTCTCTCTGAATGTTATGCACTGAGTCATCAGTAGTTTTTTTGTACATTTTAGTAACTGATGCATGCTCTGTTGGCATTGATATTATAAGACAAATTTCTAATAAAAAATGATTTGCACTTTACGAATAATATGTATTTCTCTCATTCCTATGATATCATAAAATATTTTACAACAAGATAAAAATTTATTACCATGATCATAGGTATACGTGTTATCTTGTAGTCGGACAATATCAAAATAAAAAATATATAAATTTACTAGAAAAAAAGACAAGGTCAAAAAGAGAATAATAATTTGATATGTGTTAAAAATATTTTTTTTTATAGTAATTGAGATGTTAACTTGTGTTTTCATTTACTGATGTCTGCAATAAATTGACATATATCAGATAACAGTACTTCTACTATCATTCTAAAATTTATTTAAAACATTGTAAGTGAAAATACACTATCAGTAGGTGAACAATTAAGTTTTACAACAAACAGCTTGATTAATTATAATTGAAATTGTAAACTCTTCTTTTTTTTCATTTCGTTGTTTCTGTTGTTTCAGTTGTAGTAACTTTTTTTGATACTGGTTCAACTATAGCAGCCTTTTGATGTTCTGCAACGATAGTCTCCATATCGCCTACAATTTTGCCTGGTGTAGTTAAACTGCCCGATGCTGTTGTACCAACGATTTGATTATTGACACTATTGACTGGTGTAGTATCAGAAACTACAGCTAACGGTTTAAATACATCTGCTTCTTTTACTACATATTCTTTTGATGTAGGTTCTTCAGTAGTTGTTGTAGTTGTTGTTGTTGTCTTTTTTGTTGTCATCTCTGTTGATGAAGATTTTGGTTTAGAATCGTTTTCTTTTGTAATAATTTCTGTGTATTCAAGTGGGTCACCTTCACGATTTGTTTGTATTACTGTATCGTGAGCGATGGCAGTTGGAGTAGTAGCGGCGAGTGGATTGGCTGCGCTCGTAGCGTTCGTCGGTAGAATAAGGTGAGTACGAGGTGGGTCCATTGTTCTCTCTTTTAATACTTAACTATATATATACATCAGAACGATTGGATGCATCGACATCATTATTATCGTTACTATAGGAAACATTTTTTTTTTCTAAATAGTATTATTTTTACTTGAAATGACTTAAAAATTCTACTAGTACCAATAATGTAATATAAGGTTTGTTGGTATTCTTTTTAATTTAATTAAAAGTATATATATATCATATAGAAACATAGTTGAGTGACATCTCTGAACTTTGAATGACAAAAGATACGCCGTAATTACACTACCTTTTACGGTTTTCAAAATTAATTAGAAACCGTCTAGACCCATGCACTTCGTCTTTGCCATTGTTTGTGATAGCAAATTTGTCAGGCAGAAACAAAATTTATAGAGCAACTCCTAACTTTTATGTCTATACTATTCTATACACGACTGAGAAAACCAAAGTGTATACACTTTGTTCGTTTTTTTTTCAGATTTCATCAAACGAAAAGACACTTTATTTTAGTTTTTCATACATTCTCTAAATTTCGGTGAACAAATACAAACAAGGTATGATATATATAACATTGAAGTTATCAATGACATCTACAGTTCAATATTTATTTAAAGAATTTAAATAAAAAGTTTTGAACAATCGATAAATATTTTATTTTTAATAAATAAAATTTCATATCATTACTTCTATATAACCTAAGTGGATAGCGGGAGAGAATATGAAAAGAAAAATTTGGCATCATTTAGTTCTTTGTTCAATTTCTTTTCTTCGTCTACTCTTTAGAATTTAATTTGTTCTTTACGATCGTGATGTCATCGCCAATTTTTAATCTTCAAAAAGCTTTATCAACTGAATCACTTAACTTACGACATGATACGTCTCAACAACGTATTAGTTTACAACATATATTCAATTCATGTGTACTTGATAAACATCAGCGTGTTAATGCTGGTGAACTCATACGACATTTTCGTTTCGTAACCGAACAAAATACCGATTTAGTATATTGATATTATTTAGTAACATGTTTCATATTTGATTGATTTTTTTCTCTTTCTATTTAAAGTTAAGTGTACAACTTGATTTTAATTTTTTATTAAATCAACTTGGTGGAGCTGATCAACAAGTGACATTCGATCAATTATTTCATGCTGTTGAAAAGCTTTATTCTCAACTTATTGAGTAAATATTTAATTTTTATCAAATAGATAAAAAACTAATCTTCTAGTAAATCTAGTATAAGTACACCGGTATCAAAATCTGTTTCATCCAATGCACTTCATTCATCATCATCATTGAAGAAGCGAAAAAATAAAGAAAATATTGATTCACATACAAGTGATGATGCATCATCGCATTCATTCGATATTCGTAGAAAATCAATGGATCATGAAAGGTAACAGTTTTGTTTGTTTTTGTTTTGAATAAAGTATGATTTTAGATGTAAAATTGAACATAGTGAATTAATGGAAATAAATCGTCGACAAACTGAATGTTTACGCATGATTGAAGAGGAATATAAAAAATTAGATGATGATCATCAACGTTTACAAATTCAATATGAAGATATACAAAAGAAAAAACTTTCGTTAGAAGATGATCTTACTCGTAATTCACGTTATATCAATGAAAATGTTGAATTACATATATATAAAACTCAATTAGAAAATTCTAATCGAGAGTTGAAAGAAGACAATGAATGTTGTGAACGAGAAAAATTTGAACTTCAAGAACAATTAATTGATCTGGAAAATCATTTACAAATTATTCGAGATGAACGTAATCAATATATGACGAGATTACTTGATGTTGAACATGAATTAAAAATTGAATTAGTGAGAGATTTTATCGAACGAAGAAAGAAATTTGTTTGTTTTTTTTGTAGAACGATCGACAGCAATTCGAAGGACAATTAAATGTAGCAAAAAATCAATTAAAAGAAGTATAGAAAAAAGAAATAAATTCTATTGAAAACTAATTTTTTATTATTTAGAATAATCAAATGATTAGTTCTTTTCGAGTCACTATGGATGATTTGACTCTTGCTAATCAAGTATATTGTATTATTAAATTGTTCGACTTTATGATCATGCTCTTCTTTAGGATTTGATGCGAAAAAATGAAAATTTAGAAAAAAATCTTGAAGAACTTCGTCAACAACTTCGAAGGTTTGTATAAGAATTAAAATAAACAAGAAATATTTATAAATTGATTTTCTTAGTGCAAAAACTGAATCGATTGAAGCTCGATTATCTCTATCAAATTTATGTGATGAAGAAAGTTTTCTATGCGATGAACTTGAAGAACGTGTTGATGTATCACGTCGAGCAACAATTTCAAATGGACAATCATTATTTGCCGAAATAAATACAATGGACAGTATTTCAAATGAATGTGTATCACAATGTCTTGATTCATCCAATATCGAAACAATCGATGATATGGAAGTACAAATTCTTCTATCAAAAAGTGATTGTTTTAATTCTATTTGTCTAAAAGATGTGGTACGTTATTAGAATAAATCATTCATCTGTTTTACATTTTCCTTGTTAGTTTCATGAATTACATGCCAATGGTATGAATATTAATGAACATTTGATGATATTAATGGATAAAATTCATTGTACACAAGATCAAGAATATATTTTGACAACATCGAATTTAATTGATAAATATATACTGATAATAAAGAATTTAATTAAAAAAGTTATTGATAATAAAGATGTATTTGAAGGACGTTTTAGAAAATTACAAACACTGTTACTTGCTAGTCGAGGTAAAATTTTAGTTTGGTTTTAAAATTCAATATTTTTGATCTTTTATTTAGAAAAACAACAAAAATTTCAATTGGAATTAAATGAATTTTCTAATTTTATTCGATTAAATTTAACATCAACAAATATTATTCCGATATTAAAAGATTATCATGAGATGATTGAAGAATTAAAATCGAAAGAAGAAATTGCCACTAAAAATAATCGAATTTTAGAAGAACAATTAATGAAAGTAAAAGTTGAGGAAAGAGCTGAAAGATTAAAATGTATTTTTCTTACTAAACAACTGAAAAAATTAAATTCAAAAACAAAGTAAATCAAACAGAGTCTTTAATTTATTTATTTAATATTTATTTAGAGAGAAACAAGAATATTCCGATGAAAATGCTAATCGAAATTTATCCGTAAGTTTTTGTTCATATCTCAAATCAATCAATCTGATTTTTCTTTTATAGGATTTAACCACTGGTATTTGTCCATTTCATTCTATTCGAGGTATTTTTTTCTACTGAATTACAAAATAATCTATAAGATTTTTTGTAGAGTTACTTCGTGATGATCATGAATTATTTAATTCAACTTCACCATCATTACCATGCCGATGTTTAAATCGATCACATTCAAATCCTGAAATTACCCCAAGAAAATCACCATCAAAACATATTCGATGTCTATCATCACCATGCTCATCAATACCAACTATTACAGCTACGGATTCTGGTTTAAATACATCATCGAATTGTACAACAAGTCGTTCACCAACACCGGATTTAAATGAAGATATATCATCGATAACATTCGAAATTGATTCATTGTTTGATCGAACACTTATAAAAGAAGATCATTCTTTAAAACAACAAACCGAAAAGAAATCGAACCGATCTGTCGCTATAAAAAATACACAATCAAATCGAATAAAACGAGTTTTAAAAAGGTATATAATTAACTTTGTTTTTCTTTTGTTAACATTCATTTCTATAATGTTTTTAGATTACAATGGTGTGCATTATTAATTAGTTGTACAATAGTTTTATTCATTTGGAGTGTAATCATACGTTATTATTGTTTAACATCACCAAATGATGATGATTGTAATCGATTATCGTTTGCTTGGTGGCCATTTGCTTACTGTTCAACTAATGGTATTACTCTCTAAATTTCTTTCTTACTCTATTGTAAATTCAATTCAATAAAATAGAAATATTCTTCTTTTTTATGTCTTCTGTTCATAGAATTATATAGATGTATATGTTATACAATAAAGATAATAAAATATATAATTATCATCATCTGTATTCAAGAAACAAAGGTTGAGTAATGAAAGAATGTACAAATTTGTATTACATAGAAAATATAAGAAAATTGAACAGTAACAATATTTATGAGCATAAAAAAGCAATGTCTTCTAATTTAAGACTAAATCTATCTACACAACCAGCCAATACATCACCAGCTAATTTCAATTTTGTTTCTTGTAAACTACTAATTCGTTCTTCAATAGTATTTTTTACCATTAATCGATAGATATGAACATCTTTTCGTTGACCAACTATAAGAAGAAGAACAAGATAGATCGAATTAATTTAGAAGAAAAATCTTCATTACTTCGATATATTCGATCACATGCCTGATGTTCATTTTGTGGATTATAAGATAATTCACATAAGAAAAGATGATTACCACCAACAAGATTAAGACCTTCACCACCAGCTTTCAATGATAATAGGAGAACCATAAATCTATTTTCATCACTATTAAATGCTTGTACAATTAATTGTCGATCAGAAATTTTTACTTCTCCACTTATTGTTTGAGAACGTATTTGATATTTTTTTAAATGATGTCGAACAATATTCAGCATACCAACCCATGATGATACTACAACACATTTTTCTCCTTGTTGATTAACAATTAAATTAAGTTTTTTTAAAAGACAATCAAGTTTAGTACTAATAAATGTCATATCATATTGAAGTTCTGCGTCTTTTGTTAAAGCTTGAATATTTTTGTCATTTAATGTATCATCTAAATCTAATTTAAACATAGATAATTCTAAAGCAACATCATCTTTATCATCAAATATTTCATCTGTTGATAAATTTTTAACTAATGATAAATGATTACAAGCTTGACGTAATTTAAGCCTATAAATAAAGAATGCAAAATTTTTTTTTGTCACTAAAATTATTCCTTACATTAATGTAAAAAGAACGACTGTATTTGTTTTCTTTTTTTCTCGTCGATTACGAATAAATAATTTATAAGCATCAGTCATTTCAGTTTTAATTCGTTGATAATGTTTCATTTCTTCATCGGTTAATTTTAACCAAATTATTTCGATTTGTTTCGATGGTAATGGTACAAGTAATTTACCATTTAAATCACAATCTGTTTTTGTACGTCGAAGTATTAATGAACGTACAATTGTTTTCATACGTTCAATGGATTTATATTGATTTGATGAGAATAATTTCCATGTTGAATAAATATCAAATGGTGAATAATGAAGAAAATGAAGAAGAGAATAAAAATCATCAGCTTTGTTATGTATTGGTGTTCCAGTTAATGCCCAACGATAAATTGCATCTAAGGATGAACATGCTTGAGCTGTTTGAGATTTATGCGAACGTATTCGATGAGCTTCATCAAGAACAATTCGTTGCCATTTAACAGAAAATAATGGATTCTAAGAACAAAAATTTCTTATTACAAAAATAATAATAAAATATTTTACTTTAATTTCATCTGATGTATGTTCAGCTCGTACTAATTCATAAGAAGTAAGAACGACACAATATTGTCCAAAAGCACGAATGGCACCACCCACTGGAATGTCTTTTTTACGTGATGAACCATGATAAATAAAACATCTCATACGACTATATTTATTAATTTCATTTTCCCAATGACTCATAAGAGTAGCTGGACATATAACAAGTGTTGTTGGAATTGTTCGAGATTTTGAAGAATGAAAAACTTCCTCTGAACATTCTTGTTTGTTTGAATTCATTCGAAGTAGAAGGAAAGCAATTGTAGTAACAGTTTTACCAAGTCTACAATAAATAAATATAAATACATTATTGAACAATAAAATTTACCCCATATCATCAGCTAGAATTCCTAAATAATATGAAAAAAAAAATAAATATCAATGAAAGATCGTCTTTTTTTTCTTACCACCAAATGGTACAGTTGTTTCACGCCATTCCATCCAAGCAAGTGCATGTCGTTGATAACCATGTAATGTAACATTACGAAGAGATAATGGTTGTAGTGATTCTTGTTCTGGTCGTGGACATTTTTCCATATCAGCAATAAGTTGTTTTAATGCTATTTCAATTTCAGGCATACGTTTTCCAATACTAAATAAATTTTGTGCTGATTGCATATGTTTCAAACTACTCATTGTTGGTATAGGTGTGATAAGAGGATCAATTAATTGAATGGTTCTCATTGATGTAGTAGTAGTGGAATTTTTTGTTAATGGTGGAAGTTGATTTAGTCGCCATCGAGCAGAAGGATTCGTATTTGTAGTTGATGCCTTAACTTCATTTTTATTTGAAAATAGAGTAGATTGTGATGATGGTTGACGATGATTCCAAAATTTATCTAATTTCAATTGTGTGAAATCCATGTGAAATTAAATAAATGAGAATGATACAGAGAGCAAAGTTTTTCTAATGTTCCTTTGTTTGAAGTTATTCTTCTATTCGAATTTGATTTGATATATTAATTAAAAATCGAAGTTTATAAATTTAGTAAATAGTTGTCGTTAGCTGTCGATGATATCTTTTAATCGTAATTCTTATTTTTTTAACTTCTGAAAATATATTGTTTTATGTGTTGTTTTTTCTCACTTCCTGATCAGCGTTATATTACATGTTAAAAGATAACTTTTTAAAATGCCTTTTTGTAATAGATACCTATCATAAAGTGGGAAAAACCGAGAGATACCAATTTTGCAGATACAATATAAAAAAAGAAGACTACATTTCTTTTCAAAACAAAGACAACATACTAATGCATAGCAAAGGTAAAGAGACTGTTTCGTAGAACTTAGTGTTGGAGGATGGGTGTGGGCGAGGACCTTGTTATTATCTCATATCCACATCCACCCCCCACACCCACCCCCTCAATGTTTAAATCCTCCCACATATTCGTTATACATCGTCTGTTTTCACCTTGTTCTCTTTCCGTTTGTCATGACTCATGACGTATGGCTTGGATTGTGGTTTCACTTGATTGAGTCATGACTCATGCATAGTATATAAAAGAAGGAAGAACGACTGAGATGAAGCACAGTTAGATTGTATGATATGCTGGCCATGACACCATCATAGAAAATAAAACAACAGACTTCGATGTGAGAAGAGAAAGACTTCTGAAGGATAAAAATTGCAGCTATTTGAGTATTTATTCGATTTGAAAGGACAAAAGTAATGTAAGTGTATGCATCATTTATTTTTTATGACTTTATCGGCATCAAATCTATGTCTCTCGTGTTCACTTTATTTGACCATCTTGAGGGTGTGAGTGTGAGGGTGTGAAGTAAATAAGGAGATCGAACCTAGCATAACTCCCGACTTTTACTCTTCAGATACAAAATACTTGTCTTCGAAGTT